ACATGTTTTTATAAAACTTATTTATAAAAGTTGAAACTATTTTGTCATTATCAATAATGTTTTTATATTTTTAAATGTGTATGTTGTTGTAGGGGCATTTTTAGAAAATGTCATTCCATGCTCACTTATGAACATACGATACCAAATTTAGAAATGGGAATGACATTGTCATTAGCTAAATTACGAAAATGATATTCTAATTTGACCCTGTTTTTCAATAAATTAAGTATTTATTTCTACTTTGGCGTCAATATAGTATTTTAACTTGTGTCCTGATGAGATAATAAAGCCATTTTTTCTTGTCAGCAGTAAGAATTCGGGTGAACTATATTTTTATATTTTAGTAAAATTTATTTCATCTCTTTGACCTATTAAAATTATTAAATCTACACCCTCTTTCTACTTTAACCTCCCCCAATTCAAACTTTTTTCACCATTTTACCCAATAAGATCTTCATTTCAGCCCTTCTTTCTCCGTCAAGCTCCTTCAATTCAAACCTAAACCCTAATCCAACCTCAATAACAATCATCCAAGTCAACACCAATTTGAATTAGGGTTTAGGTTTTGAATTAGGGGAGTTTGAAGGAGAAAGATGTGGCTCCATTGATGAGAAGTAAAGAAAGAATGAAGGAAGATCTTTTTAGGTACAAGGTGGAAGAAATTTAAAGTAGGGGAAGTTGAAGGAGAAGATGATATTGATTTAATAATTTTAATAATATAGGGGTTTGGAAGAAATTTTTCAACAAAGAAGAAAAAATATAGTTCATGGGAAAAGAGTCTTATTGTCGTCCGGACACAAGTTAAAATACCATATTAATGCTGAAGCAGAAATAAATAACTTATTGAATACCAATTTGGTAATTTAGCTCATTGTCATCTCCTTTTTGATTCTCTAATCTCACAAGAATGAGAATGGGCATTTATTCCTACATTAATTCAGTTTCATAGCTCACTCAATTCCATTCTCACCTTGTTCGATTTTCTCATACCAAATAAGGTGTAAGAACTTTAGGATATATAAGTGTTGCCAAAAATAAGCAAGGGTGTATGAATGCAAAGTAGAGAAACTATAGGGCATTTACGTGCAATTAAGCCTTTTTAGTAAGTTTTTTGCATGTAAACTGTGCCCATTCTTTTTCTTTCCTTCTTCTAAT